TAAGTTTTGCATGATGATAATTTAGCATATAGAAGATGGGATTTTGAATGAAAAGTCTAGGTTAAAAGATCATGCATTCTCTGGCATCATTTTGGTTTCCTATTAACTTACTGTGTTTTAGTTCTCTCATCTAAAATAGCATCAACAAGTCCTTACTTTCCTTTGTTTATAGATCTATTTACCTATCTATGTCTCGCATATGTGAGAACGGTCTGTGTTCCTTGGAGGAAAGCTACTATTTAAATTCAGGGTGTTATTCCTGGAAATGGTAAAAGCCCTGAAGCAGGAATATGCACACTGACCTGCGTGCTGCAGTTGGCAGCCTTCAGGATTCCTGTATGTTTCATTCTCAAGTCATAAAGCTGACAGGTGGGCCCTCAGGTGCACCGGGGAGGTGGAAAGTGTTATGTTATTATTTGGGGATGGCATGGACCATGTCGTACGTAACATGCTGTAGATAAAGACCTAGAAAAGCATCTTAGGTTCTTATTGCCATCCTTGAGGGTCTCGGTGTTATTCATAACAGAACAACCACAGTGTAGCATCTGAGGCATTTTCTATGGCAATGAAAAATAGAAAAGCCAGTACGACGTGTATGTGGACAGAAGGAATAGTAAGAACTGGTAGGGCCTGTTCCACTCTTCCTTCCTGTGAAATCTGATCTATAGTATCTTTTCTATTGTTTTCTGGCACAAATCTAAATTCTTTGTATCGAACAGTGTCTTAATATTCTGGATTTTGGGTGCCTTATAAGCAGTTACGTGGTTTTCATTTTCTCATGACTCAGTTCAGCCAATCTCCCAACCTGTGTAAATATCTTCAGCTTTGTGTTGAAATCTTTGTTTTGCTTTACAAGCCCAATATTATCTTGTAGCAGGTGCAGATTCTGTGTTTTCTGAGTTCTTAACGAACATAAATCCCCAGTGGAGATATTTGTCATTCCTTGCATGCCATTGTTCTGATAATGATGCTTATAAAACACAGAGAGACCCTCTCCTAGATTCCATGGCTAAGCATATGTTTCAAGAAAGGCCAATGATCATCAGGAAATGTGGAAATGCCTACGAGCTTTTATAGATGTATGTGTGTGTCTTTGAGTAAGTTTGCTAGAGATAAAAGCCATTTTATTTATTGCAACCCTTTGCCTTCAATGCAGTTCACACAAAGTGTGTCACACCGTGAAATTGTTATATATGACCTTTTCTTTGCTGCTGGAGTCATTTAGTTGTTAAAACATAATTTAAAATAATTACTGGAAATGGGCATGATCAGAGAAGTGTTCCAGGGCAACTTTGCAAATAAATACAGAACATTTATAAGCATACTTTTTAAACCAGTTTCCTAAACGCTACTTAAGAGGTATCTGGGTGAGGGAAAAACGAAACTGGTATTGTCTAGCATTCATGTAGCGTGCATCATAATTTTCTGGAAGCAAGCATCTGGAAATAACAGAATGGTGCACTGACGTCTCTCTCTCTCTTTCTCTCTCTCTCTCTGTAGTTGACAGAAGGAATGACTGGGGATGGAATCTCTGAGGTCAATGACTGTCATGTTAATAAGGTTACCTTTAGGATACCTTGCAACCTGCGAGATACAGTGACAGATGCTGTCTTTACAACCTTCTCTTGAATATTTAGAAAGTTGCATGCCTGGGGCACCTGGGTGGCTCAGTCGGTAAAGCGGCTGCCTTCGGCTCAAGTCATGATCCCAGGGTCCTGGGATGGAGCCCTGTGTCGGGCTCCCTACTCAGCGGGGAGCCTACTTCTCCCTCTCCCTCTGCTGCTCCCCCTGCTTGTGCTCTTTCTCTGTCAACTAACTAACTCAATAAATAAAATCTTAAAAACAAAGAAAGTTGCATGCCCATCCTAAAATAAATATGATGATATGAGTGATTCAAGAAAGCTTTGTTAGAAGAGTCTTCCTGCCTCTTTGTTTAGGTCAAAGTAAATAAATAATGCTTTTCACAGATACTTTGTTGTGGAATTATTGTCTCTTTCCCCTGACTCACATGTGAATTTAAAATGCAACGTGTAAATTAGAGGGATAAATCTGACAGAAGCTTTTTTCTTCTTCTTTATAATCAGTATAGCATTAATATGGGAGTATTTGCTTTCTCCACAAATAGATTCGGAAAACAACATAACAAAATTAGGACAGCAGCAACAGGAGCTTTTAAAATATGTTTTTAAAAGCAGGACGTGGGGGCGTCTGGGTGGCTCAGTTGTTGGGCATCTGCCTTCGGCTCAGGTCATGATCCCGGGGTCCTGGGATCCAGCCCCGCATCGGGCTCCTTACTCTATGGGAAGCCTGCTTCTCCCTCTCCCACTCCCCCTGCTTATGTTCCCGCTCTTGCTGTGTCTCTCTCTGTCAGATAAATAAATAAAATCTTAAAAAAAAAAAAGAAAAGCAGGACATGAAGGTGTCCTTTAAGACTTCTTAGGCTGCCTGTAAATCAGTATTAGTCGGTGCTCCCGGGGACCCGGATTCTCTAGCTAAAAGTACTACTGACACATCCCAGCATCTGGGGTCTCCTGGGCCCACTGACAGCAGAGCTGAGTCAAGGCTATCAGGTCTTTGCAAATACCACCAGCCGTAAATTTAAACAACAGTTGAATAAAAAATTGTACATTTCATTAACTGGAGAGGTAGATATTTCCGGGCATAGAAACCTGCCATAAAGGAAGAAAATCTAGACATTTCCTCCTTCCGTTAGCTCTATAACCCTCCATCTCAAAAAAAGTGCTACAGATATGTAGTAGATGAAGGGATAGTAGATGAAGGGATAGGAGGAGTTCTGTAATTCTTTTGGTTTTTATGTGTATCACTGGCTTCTCAGGCCAGCTGGCTAAGCAGGGACTATTTCTAGCCTAAAGGAAGCTCTAAGGAAGACCTTGTGATTTAGTTGCTAAGTAAGTATTTCTGCAGATGCTGTTATCTTTAGGTAATGATGTCCTACTTCGCAAATGAAACCCTGCATTTATTTTGGAGGAATAGATCTCAGAAATCTTGAGCTTTCTAATCTGGGATTCTGCTATTAACTACTGGTGTTCCTAAAGACATTGACTCTCATTTGTAAAGCACTGGCCTGGATGGGGGCAAATTTCTCTTTGGCTTTATGACTCCGCTTGTGTTTGAGTGCCCACCAGGACTGAAAATAATCTTGTTTCCCAGTCGGAATGGAAAATAAGCTGCCTGGTCTGGCTGGTGTACGACAGCATTCCCAATTGTGACGAGGAGCAGATGTAGCACCCTGTTCGAATGTAATAGAGAGCTGCTCACTGTACCGTGGATAACGTGGTCCCTTTCCACATGTGCTTCCTGCTTCGGAGAAGTCCTTGCCTGCGAAAGGGTGTAATAAACTCTCTGTTTTGTCACCATTGGTTACAGTACTTTAAATAACTCAGATTAGTTTGGGCTAAGCAGGATTGAAAAATATTATTTTCCTTGCCTGTGGGAGCAAATCATGAAAGATTTATTTTTAATCGCTCACTTGCCCTCTTTGCTGAAACTCAGTTTTGTGTTCTTGTTCTTCTCCTTCTTCTTTCCTTTGGAAATGCTATTTCCACCTGATATTAGAGTGAAATAGTTTGAAGATTGAGTTGTTTAATCCGAACAAATATGACTTCTTTGGCTCTCTTGATTGTTCTGACCCCATCTGTGCAGGAGAATTGACTACCTTGGCTTTCTTGGGCACACTGGGGAGACGTAAGCATGACTTGGGAGTCCAGAGGCATTTTAAAATACTAACTCCATTGTTGGCTGTCCATAGTAAACTGGGAGAATCATTCAACCTCTCTGAGCCTTAGTTTCTTAATATTTCTAAAGCAAATTACACAGAACACAAATAATCTACTATGCTATTTGACCCAGAGTAGGAATATAATATATACTACTTTCTAGTCCCACGCCCTCACCTAGGTCTTTTTGTCGTTATTGTTTGCTGTTGTTGTCATAGTCCAGCAACTGGATAATTGCTGATTTTCATGACTGTGATACAATTTTATGAAGAGATACACTTCTAAGCATCTCAGCATTCTTATCAGATGCTACACTCCCTACCCATCCCCACCTTTGACCCCCACCCCACCATTCTAGCAAAATGTGAAACAAATAGCTACTTTTTTGCATAGTTTTCTTACAAAGGGAGAATGAGGACTACAAAGTAGTTAAATTTGAGGCTACAGACAGGAAATGAACAGGTGGGAGTAAGACCTGAAATTCTTACTTTCCATGGTGCTATGATAAGCATTACTAGATCATGTTCTCTGCTCAGAATGTCTTATCACCTATTTTGTGTAAGTATCCATAGAGATGGTTTGACATATTGTTTTGTTAATTAAAAAAATCTCACAAAATTTTAGGCTGCTATTATTTCTTAGCGTACAGTATGTTGTGCTCCAACACAGAAATTTAAAAAAAGCAACCTTTAAACAGGCCTCCAAATCTATTAAAACCTAACACCTGACGTGAGCCCTTCTCAATCTTAAATTCCAAAGTGAAGTTTCATTTAATGTCATTATCAGCTGCTTTAGCACAATATAGACACATTCTCTGATTAGTGATCATTTTTGGTCTTTACAAATTCTGATTTGTAAAAAAGTGTGCTTCTTTATAATTTTGGATGTAAAGTCATCTGAACAATAACTACAAAAACCCCTCCAGTTAGCTTCCCACTGCTGCATCCATAATATCCCAATTTTCTGACAAATAAACATAAAGTATATGATGAACTTGACCAGCATTTTGATAAACATTGTTGAATATAATGACGTATCTTCACAATTTCTTTCTTTTCTGTTGTTACTAAGCCTCTCCAGTAAATAAATAAACCACATTAGTCAGTATTAAGAAGACATTCTCTCATTCATTAACTGGAATTTGTATATTGAACTTAGGTGATTTAATTTTTGAAAATTGTCTTGCTAAAAGTTTCTTATGTAATGTTCTTCTTATGATATTCCCTCTTAATTTCTTACTTAATGCTATGGAAATAAAAATACCTCTTTAGATCTTTACTCCAGTCCATATCTGTTATGGCTTCAGTTGTGTCCTCTGAAATTCCTATGTTGAAATCCTAACTCAGTACGTCAGAATGTGACTGTGTGTGGAGACAGGATCTACAAGACATAATTAAGGTGAAATTAGACCATGAAAGTAGGCCCTAATAGAATATAACTGGTGCCCTTACAGGAACAGGAGATTAGGTCAGAGACACACACAGAAAAAAAAATATGAAGGCACCAGGAAAAACCTGCCATCTACAAGCTGAAGAGAGAGGCCTCGGAGGAAATCAACCCTGCTGACACCTTGGTCTTGAACTTCTAGCCTCCAAAGTTGTGAGAAATAAATTTCTGGCGTTTAAACCACCCAGTCTGTGGTACTGGGTCTGTGCTTGCGGCAGCCCTAGCAAACTAATACAACATCTTACATTTGGTAATAATGTCTGATGGAGCAAGGATTTCCCATATGAATCTTTTTTTCTGCCAAAGTTCCCCTTAATTCTTTTTTTTTTTTTTATAATACCACCAAAGTGTGACTGACAAACTTTTTGTGCACAAGTATATTAAAAAATTTCTCTTACAAATATTCTGTAATTCAGACTTGAAACAAATCAAATTAACCTTTTCCCTCAGTTGTAATGAGTTGATGAGATCTTACTGAATGACCCATCACTGAGATAATTTTTACAAAATTGGCTTTAGGACAACATCTTCCAAATTCAATCAATTCTTAAGTCTTATTGCCTTTGCTACCTTTCTCATAAAATACAGATTTTTTTTTTACCTCATTTTCCCTTCCAATTCTCATTACCTTGACACAAACACTAATGTCTCTTCTGGCCTCATGCAGTAACTTCCCAAATGTGCTCACCTACAGACTTTCTCTACCTCCAAAATATTTATTACATAGACTCCAGTTATAATTATGACCACAAATTTTTCATGCAAAATGCTTCAATAGTTTCACATTATCTACAGAATAAAATCCAAACTCCCTTCACAAGGCAATAGCACATGCTTCATGAGGTAGGCCCTGCATACTCGGTCTGCTTTGTGTCTATTTCCAACCTCCCAAGCTCAACCCTTGTTTTACTCACTAATACTTATTACCCGCAGCTCCTACAATGTGTTGGGCTTTTTAAAAATGTCCGTATATCTTTGCATATGTTATTTTTACCACCTGTAATGTTTCCCCAATATCCTCCGACCAACTTCTTATCCTCCAAGTTTTAGCTCAAATAATCTCATCTCTTGGTGAATTCAGATGGGCCTCCTGTGTTCCCATGACATACTGTTTATAGTGCCTTGTCCACCTCCACACTAGATCAATGTATTTCCATATCTGTCTACTAGGTTTCCAGTACCATGCCTTCATGGTGAAGTGACCCAATACCTATTAAGGGAATACAACAACGAAGTGGGTTATGGCATCACAAAATTGCTCTAAAGAGTTCAAGAAAGTGAACACTTGTATTTACCGCAAAGCCTTTATGGAAATGACCATAAAGGAAGATCATTCCAACAGGGTCAATTTTCTCAACAGGAATGATGTAATTTGGGGTTGTATTACAAGCGAGAGAATAATACCAAGCAGGGGCACCTGGGTGGCTGTCAGTTAAGCGTCTGCCTTTGGCTCAGGTCATGATCCCAGAATCTTGGGATGGAGCCCCATGTAGGGTTCCCTGCTTAGCGGGGAGCCTGCTTCTCCCTCTCCCTCTGCCCCTCCCTCTGCTTGTGTTCTCGCTCTCTCAAATAAAGAAATAAAATCTTAAAAAAAAAAAAAGAACAATACCAAGCAAATTGTAGTTTGACAACATGGGCAAAGCAAAGACATGACAATTATAAATGGATATAATTAATATATTATACTCTAAATTCTATAAGACGTATATACATGTTCTAGATATATTTGTCTAATGTAATGCGAAGTAAATATAACTACTGAATAATAAATTTGATATTTATTAATTCTGTTGAATCTTCTAAAACAGATTTACATCTTCTTTGAAAACATATAATAGCAGTATCATTAAAATAAAATTCTATAATTATATACTTGAAGTAAACTTGAAAGCATTACTAAGCATTAAAAAACATTTAGGGCGCCTGGGTGGCTCAGTTGGTTAAGCGACTGCCTTCGGCTCAGGTCATGATCCTGGAGTCCTGGGATCGAGTCCCGCATCGGGCTCCCTGCTCGGCAGGGAGTCTGCTTCTCCCTCTGACCCTCCCCCCTCTCATGTGCTTTCTCTCTCTCAAATAAATAAATAAAATCTTTAAAAAAAAAAAACAACAAAAACATTTAATGGCAAATGTCATTCTTTTGTCCTTATAATAATTTATTTTGGAATCAGTGTGGAGTGGGCCTAGATCTCTTTGAAAAGTTTCTGAATTTGCATGCACAGCTGGTGGGGATGTAAATTAGAAAACATATCTGAAAGCAATTTAGCTTTATGTTTTTAGATTTTTCAAATTGTTCATAGTGTTTGAACCGGTATTTGCAATTCTGGAAGCTAATCTAAAACAAATCAGACATTTACAAAGATCAGAGCTGAAATAAATGACATAGAGACTGAAAGGAAAATAGAAAAGATCAATGAAACTAAAAGCTGTTTTTTTTAAATATAAACAAAACTGACAAACCTTTAGCTAGATTCACTAAGAACAAAAGACAGACGACTCAAATAAATAAAAGTAGAATTGAAAGAGGAGATATTAGAACTGATAATACAGAGAAATATAAAGAATCATAAGAGACTACTATGAAAAATTATATACCAACAATTCGGGACTACCTAGACAAATAGCTAAGTTCCTAAAAACATACAACCTACCAAAACTGAATTATGAATAGAAAATCTGAATAGACTGATTACTAGTAAGAGATTGAATCAGTAATCAGAAGCCTCCTAACAAACAAAAGTCTAGAACCAGATGGCTTCACTGGTGCTTTCTACCAAACATTTAAAGAAAAATGGAAAACAATTCTTCTCAAACTCTTCCCAGAAAATAGAAGAGGAGAAGGAATCACTTCTAAATCCATTTTTTTTTTTTTTTTTGAGGCAGGCATTGACCTGATACCAAAATCAGGCAAAAATGCTGCAAGGAAGAAAAGAAAATTACAGACTGATATTTCTGATGAACACAGATGCAAAAATCCTCAACAAAATATTAGCAAACTGAATTCAACAATACATTAAAAGAGTCATACACCATGATCGAGTGGGATTTATTCCAGGGATGCAAGAATGTTTCAACATCTGTAAATCAGTCAATGTGATACACCACATTAACAAAGCGAAGGATAAAAATCATATGATCATCTCCATGGATGTAGAAAAAGCATTTGGCAAAATTCAACATCCCTTTATGATAAAAACTCTGAATAAAGTGGGTATACTGCAAATGTTCCTCAACAGAATAAAGGTCCTATATGATAAGCCCACAGCTAACATCGCACTCAATGGTGAAAAAGTGAAAGCTTTTCCTCTATGATCAGGAACAAGATGAGGATGGCCACTCTCACCACTTTTATTCGACAAAGTACTGAAATCTTTGTCAAAGTAATTAGGCAAGAAATAAAAGGTATGAAAATTGGAAAAGAAGAAGTAAAACTATCACTGTATGCAAATGACATGATATTATATATAGAAAATCCTAAACATTCCACCAAAAAACTATTAGAACTAATGAAACAAAGTCAGTAAAGTTGTAGAACACAAAATCAATATATAAAATTTGTTTCTACAAACTAATAGCAACCTATTAGAGAGAGAAATTAAGAAAACAGACCGATTTACAATTGTATCAAAAAGGATAAAACATCTAGGAATAAGTTTAACCAAGGAGGTGAAAGACCTATACACTGAAAACTGTAAGACACTGATGAAAGAAATTGAAGATGACAAAAATAAATAGAAAGGTATTCCGTTCTCATGGATTGGAGGAATTAATACTATTAAAAACATTCATACTACCCAAAGCAATCTAAGATTCAGTGTAATCGCTATTAAAATTCTAATGGCCCTTTTCACAGAAACAGGACCAAGAACTCTAAAATTTGTATGGCACCACAAAAGACTCCAAATAGCCCCAAGCAATCTTGAGAAAGAAGAACAATGCTGGGGGCATTGTGTTTCCTGACTTAAAACTATATTTTAAAGCAATTTCAAAAAACACGGTATTGGCTTAAAAACAGGCACATGGATCAGTGGAACAAAGTAGGAGTCCAGAAATAAACCCATGCATTATATAGTCAATTAATATGTGACAAAGGAGCGAAGAATACATAACTGGAAGGGCAGTCTCTTTAATAAATGGTGTTAGGGTAACTAGACAGCCACATGAAAAGGAATAAAGCTGGACCATTATCTTATACCATACACAAAAATTAACTTAAAATGCACTGAAAACTTGAACATAAGACCTAAAACCATAAAATTCCTAGAAGAAAACACAGCTTCTTTTTTACATTGGTCTTGGTGATGATTTTTTGGATTTTGATACCAAAAGCAAAGGCAACAAAAGCAAAAATAAACAAATGGGACTACATCAAACTGAAAAGCTTCTGCATGGCAAAGGAAGCCATCAACAAAGTGAAAAGGCAACCTACTAAATGGGAGAAAATATTTGCAGATCATATATCTGATAAGGTGTTAATAATCAAAATATATAAAGAACTCATACAATTTAATAGCAAAAAAACAAACAATCCATTAAAAAATCACAAAAGATGTAAGTACATATTTTTCCAAGGAAGACCTGCACACGGACCACAAGTACATGAAAAAGTGCTCAATATTACTCATCATCAGGTAAATGCAAATCAAAACCACACTGAGATACTGTTAGAATGGCTAGTATCCAAAAGACAAGCAATAGCAAGTGTTGGTGAGGATGTGGAGAAAAAGGGAAGCCTTGTACACTCTTGGTAGGAGTATAAATGGTGTAGCCACTATGGAAAATATTATGGAGGTTTCTAAAAAAATTAAAAATAGAACTACTATATGATCCAGCAATTCCACTTCTAGATATTTATTCAAAGAAATATGAAGAGAAAATGAGATTCAAAGAAATTGAAATTCAAAAGAAATTCAAAGAAAATGAGAACACTAACTCAA